ATACCCTGTACCCAGCAAAATCTAAAGTTTGTTTATTGTAAGACCCATGACGGATGAAGTTCTTTAAGAAACTATCATGTAATTTTGTATAGAAATGTGTACATGACACGTAGGGGGGACCAATCGTGGAAGGCACAGCGTAAGCACGGTCTACACGTGCGACACAGTGACCGTGTTCATTCAATGACAAGATGCGCTACTCAGCAGATGTTAAACAGTTGATGTTGAATGTGTATGATTTCTTTAGAAGTGAAGCAGAAAGAGCAAAGCCTTTTTATGCAATTAATAAATTCTTGAAACGAGCTTCAAAAGTTCTTTGTATGTCCCCTCAGAAACTCAAAAATGTTGTTAGTCGACGAGATACAAATAGTCAGGCCAAGGAGGTAGGGAACATGTCAAAACCACGCAAGGTTGATCAATTAGACAGTTTTCAGAGGGATCAAGTCAATTGTTAAACTGCACTCAGAAAATAAGTACCTGTCCCTAAGAATTTTGAAGAAACACCTTGAAATGGACCATGATTTACGTGTTACAAAGTACAAACTATGGCAGCTGTTTCATACATTTGGTTACAAATACAAAAAAGATAACTGGAGAAAATAGGGCTGTGTTGTGTCAACGGGCTGACATTGTTCGTCTCCGAAATCATTACCTTCGTACCATCAAGCAGAAACGTGAAGAAGGATATGAGCCCGTCTTCTTAGATGAGACATGGGTAAATGCGTTACCCACAGCCAGCAGTCAGTGGGTACCCAGTGGTGACTGTAAGGAGTCTTGTAGAAAGTTACCAATGGGAAAGGGTGAAAGACTCATATATAGTTCTCCATGCTGGTTCTGCTAGTCAGGGTTTTCTCCCAGACTGCGACCTCGTCTTTAGAGCCAAGGCCAAAGACAACAGGGACTACCACACAGAAATGAACGGCAATGTATTTCTGGAGTGGGTGAAAGATAAATTAGTCCCTACTTTGTCTACCAAGTCTCTCATTGTCATGGACAATGCACCGTATCATAGTGTGCAGGATCCAGAAAGCAAGACTCCAACCTCTAATAACCGTTAAGGAGACATGGTTACTTGGCTGCAACGGAGAAACATTACCTTTCCTTCACGAGCGACGAAACCACAGCTCTATGAAATCATCAAAACTATGAAACCTGACCCAGTGTATAAAGTTGACAGTTACATCAAGGGTCAGGGTCACGCTGTCTTACGACTGCCACGGTTATTTTGCTTCCAGAATCAACAAATTCAGGTGATTTCTCTGACTTAAACCATGTTATAATTTTGCAAATATGAACTATAATTGTGTCTGATATGCTGGTTTAAAATGCACGATGAGAACGGTCAGTGAATGCCTGGCTCAGAATCAACATTCAGCAACAACATTCATCCACCAATATTGGATGTCAAGCTTCTTGAGACAATAACCACATGTTGTTGTATTAACTGTTCTAATTAAAAGACAAAAGAGGAACCAATTTATTAGGGTTTAAATTGCACGTTTTGCAATGTTATTTAAATGAAATACATACTCTGTTGCTTGTAAATTCTGGGCCCTTTATCTGAGTTTAGACTATGCCTATTTAGCTGTGTCATCACAAAACTAAAAGGCGTGATGTAGAAAATATCAGAGGCAGGTGCAAACAAAAACACAAAATTGTTTTTTTCTTTTAGAATGCATACAAGGGAGACAACTGCTACAGACTTGTATCAATGTTTACAAAATCATACGTGATTTTAATGTTCAGGGTTTTCTGTAATAGCCAAAAAGTATGATCGTTGCTGCAGAGTGATCAAGCTCTGCTTCCTCGAACACATTAGGCAATTGTGACAATAGACTAAGCCAGTAACTTCTTGTAAATACTGCATTATTACGCCTGGCAATTTTCTAGCTTCCTTTTGATGTTTGACGTAATGGAGTCTGACGAAACATGTCACAATATGCCACCGTGGTGTAATTCAGTGAAATTGTCTATACATATCATCATGGACACCTCTTCATGATTTGTAATATGAATGACAGGACAAGCAGATAATCATTCAACATAAATATACCAACAAAACAGAACATAAAAGGTTCTCACGTGTCCCGGATAACTACCAACGTACAGTGTATACGTATAACTGCAGCACTGCAAACACCTCCCTCGTCGTCAGACTGCACTAAAAGTAGGTCAGGCAGGTGTTCTTACTTCCTGTTCAGTGTGAGCTGTGGCGACAGGAAAGGGAAGCGAATATTGCTGAGTGCGGCATTAAACAACAAACTGACCACCAAACACAACAGAAATCCATACACAATCAACTCAGCCTTTAGGGACGAGCTATTCTGACAGTTTTCTCAACAATGAAATCTCTGAAATACATGACACTGTCTACGACTACGACGTGTGTGTACTTGTTACATGTCCCATACACTGTATAGTTCAAGTGCTTGAATTTTCTACATTTTCTATAACAAATGCATTATTACAATTGTTCACTGACAAAATGAACCGTTCGAATGTGTCTGTCTGTCTGTCTGTATTATACTGGACCAACAACGCCGATTTAAAAATGTCACCGACCGTCTGCTTTCTGGGAAAATGTTCTACCCACTTCATCATGGTGTTACAAGGCATCCTTATATAGTTCTATGTACATTTATAGGTAACTGCAATATGCAAAGTATGTGTGGCGGAAACAAAAGTTGGCGCATGTCTATACGTCTGTGACGTCACATCTGCGTCACAATGAGAGATATGACTTCATGATAGTGACGTACGGTCTTGACGAAATCTTGCATGGCTTGCTTAGTTTTCTTTGAGATTAAGTACATTTCCAAATTTGATCCATTAGTGACAAATAATGTCACCTACAAGTCCTTATATTGACGTGAACCATATGTTCCCATGTTTGTTCAGTTGACCAATTTACTTGCCTTTGCGTGTGTTTTGGACGGTGCCACGGCGAGACAGGATGAGCTTACATTTTTGTGAACACCTGGTATCGTCACTAATTGATAGTGATTGCTGACCACATGCTTGTGATTGAATCGGAATCGTAAAATTCATTCAGCAGAGATTTATTTTATATATGGTAATTGTTTTGTCGCTTGTATTTGTTGAAATATAATGGGACTGGGATTGGGTTGATCGTGTCAGGGGTATGAGAGAATAACGATGACAATGGACGATGATGATGATAATGTTTACTATCTTACCAAGCTCTTACAACACTAATACTGATATGCATCGCGTGATGTTCCTGGCTGCGTCAGTGTCTACTCCAGCACATTGGCTACATTGTGTGTGTGCAGCTTTAATGACCATCATATAAAATGAAAACCTCCTGCAAACCCAGTTCCTCAGAAATCGCTGCGTTCTTGTAAAACGAGAGCGAAATCGTTATCTCTGCATATGCCACGATACCTGGCACGCTTTCAAAACATTCACAACGCACTCCCCTCAAAGCTGATCCAGAGTTGTTGAGCACAAACTAAATATCCATCTGGGAATCTGTCTAACTAGGCCCGCAAACATAAATGCCTGTGAATATCACGAAATAACACTCAGACACAAACTGTATAGATCATACACACGCCCCCTGTTACACTCAGACATAAACTGTATATATCATATACACGCCCCTGTTACACTCAGACACAGTCTGTATATATCATACGCAACCCCTCTTTACACTCAGACACAGTCTGTATATATGATACACATGTCCCCGTTACACTCAGACACAGTCTGTATACATGTATGTCATACACGCTCCCCCTTTACACTCAGACACAGTCTGTATATATCATACACACGCCCCCGTTACACTCAGACATAGCCTGTACATATCATACACACGCCCCCGTTACACTCAGACACAGTCTGTATAGATCATACGCAGCCCCCTGTTACACTCAGACATAAACTGTATATATCATATACACGCCCCTGTTACACTCAGACACAGTCTGTATATATCATACGCAACCCCTCTTTAAACTCAGACACAGTCTGTATATATGATACACATGTCCCCGTTACACTCAGACACAGTCTGTATACATGTATGTCATACACGCTCCCCCTTTACACTCAGACACAGTCTGTATATATCATACACATGCCCCTGTTACACTCAGACATAGCCTGTACATATCATACACACGCCCCCGTTACACTCAGACACAGTCTGTATATATCATACGCAACCCCCTGTTACACTCAGACATAAACTGTATATATCATACACACGCCCCTGTTACACTCAGACACAAACTGTTTATATCATACACACGCCCTCTTTACACTCAGACATAGCTTGTATATAGCATACACACGCCCCCATTACACTCAGACACAATGAGAGAATTTATCATACACACACCTATGTTACACTCAGACACAAACTGTTTATATCATACACACGGCCCCGTTACACTCAGACACAGTCTGTATATATCACAAACACGCCCCTGTTACACTCAGACACAGCCTGTAATTATCATACACATGCCCCCGTTACACTCAGACACAGTCTGTATATATCATACACACGTCCCCGTTACACTCAGACACGGCATGTATATATCATACACACGGCTCAGTTACACTCAGACATAGTCTGTATATATCAAAAACACTCCCCTGTTACACTCAGACACAGCCTGTATCGCCCCTTTACACTCAGACACAGTCTGTATGTATCATACACACGCCCCTGTTACACTCAGACACAGTCTGTATATATCATACACACGACTCCGTTACACTCAGACAGTCTGTATATATCATACACACGCCCCCGTTACACTGAGACACAACCTGTATACTGAGTATATGATACACAGCCTGGATATATGATACACACGCCCCTGTTACACTCAGACACAAACTGTATATATCATACACACGCCCCCGTTACACACACACACACACGAACTTCTATTGTAATTTAAGGCAACATTTAGCTTGTCTATGCAGCACGGCCCCTCGTCCATAGAAACACAAAGCCGGGTTAGTGATGTGAGACATTTTCATCTGGCTGGTTGAAGAGTTTTTGTTAGTCCGTAAATACGCTCTCATATAATATCCGTGAGAGAGAGGGGGCTTTCCTTCCATGTGCGAACTTTGTGATAACTCGACAGGATGTCACATCGATAGCAAATACATACTCACTGTATTCGTGTCTGCCTACATAGTCTTTGTTTATAAGTTATATAAAATTACTAAAATTAGAAAAAACATCACTTTTTCAAACCGAAAGGAAAACGAGTTGGTGGTTTACACGAGTATTGAAACGAAAGTGAAACAAGTAGATTCGAGGTCTCATCTTTTCGAGGTCTGCAGGAAGAGGAGGAGGAGGTCCGAAAACAAGGTGAGTAGTGGAATAAGGCTTGATGGGACAGAACAGGAGAGGCAGCATAGACTGGTGTGAATGAGAGGAGCAGCACAGAGAGGAGTGAATGAGAGATGTTGTGTACTGTATAGTGAATGAGGGGGGCAGTACAGAATGGAGTGAAATGGAGGGCAGCACAGACTGGAGCGGAGTACATGTAATGACAGTAGAGAGGGAATGTATGAGAGGGGCAGCACAATGGAGTAAACGAAAGGGGCAGAGTAGACTGGATTGGAGTGAAGGGCATCGCAGGTTTCAGTAAATCAGAGAGGGAGCATAGATCGAAGTGAATGAGGAAGGCAGCACATACTTTAGTAAATGAGAGAGACAACACAGAATAGTGAATAAGAGAGGCTCGACAGACTGGATTGAATGAGAGGGGCAGCACAGATTGAAGTGAATAAGAGAGGCAGCACAGGCTGTAGTGAATGAGAGAGGCAGCATAGGCTGTAGTGAATGAGAGAGGCAGCACAGATTGTGGTGAATAAGAGAGGCAGCAGAGATTGTAGTGAATAGGAGAGGCAGCACAGACTGGATTGAATGAGAGGGGCAGAACAGATTCAAGTGAATAGGAGAGGCAGCACAGGCTGTAGTGAATGAGAGGGGCAGCACAGGCTGTTGTGAATGAGAGAGGCAGCACAGGCTGTAGTGAATGAGAGAGGCAGCACAGTGTTATGTGAATGTGAGAGGCAGCACAGACTGAAGTGAATGAGAGAGGCAGCACAGGCTGTTGTGAATGAGAGAGGCAGCACAGGCTGTAGTGAATGAGAGAGGCAGCACAGTTTTATGTGAATTAGAGCGGCAGCACAGACTGAAGTGAATGAGAGAGGAAGCACCGACTGAAGTAAATAAGAGAGGAAGCACAGACTGAAGTGAATGAGGGAGGAAACAGACTGAAGTGAATGAGAGAAGAAGCACAGACTGAAGTGAATGAGAGAGGAAGCACAGACTGGAGTGAATGAGAGAGGCAGCACAGGCTGTAGTGAATGACAGAGGCAGCACAGGCTGTAGTGAATGAGAGAGGCAGCACAGTTTTATGTGAATTAGAGCGGCAGCACAGACTGAAGTGAATGAGAGGGGCAGCACAGACTGTACTGAATGGGAGTGACAGCACAGACTGTAGTGAATGAGAGGGGCAGCACAGATTGGAGTGAATAGGAGAGGCAGCACAGGCTGTTGTGAATGAGAGAGGCAGCACAGACTGTAGTGAATTATAGAAGCAATAGGCTGTAGTAAATGAGAGAGGCAGCACAGTTTTATGTGAATGAGAGAGGCAGCACAGACTGAAGTGAATGAGAGAGGCAGCACAGACTGGAGTGAATGAGAGAGGCAGCACAGACCTGAGTGAATGAGAGGGGCAGCACAGGCTGTTGTGAATGACAGAGGCAGCACAGGCTGTAGTGAATGAGAGAGGCAGCACAGTTTTATGTGAATTAGAGCGGCAGCACAGACTGAAGTGAAAGAGAGGAAGCACAGACTGAAGTGAATGAGAGCTGAAACAGACTGAAGTGAATGAGAGAAGAAGCACAGACTGGAGTGAATGAGAGAGGCAGCACAGGCTGTAGTGAATGACAGAGGTAGCACAGGCTGTAGTGAATGAGAGAGGCAGCACAGTTTTATGTGAATTAGAGCGGCAGCACAGACTGAAGTGAATGAGAGGGGCAGCACAGACTGTACTGAATGGGAGTGGCAGCACAGACTGTAGTGAATGAGAGGGGCAGCACAGATTGGAGTGAATGAGAGAGGCAGCACAGATTGAAGTGAATAGGAGAGGCAGCACAGGCTGTAGTGAATGGGAGGGGCAGCACAAACTTGATTGAATTAGAGCGGCAGCACAGATTGCATTGAATGAAAGCGGCAGCACAGGCTGTAGTGAATTATAGAAGCAATAGGTTGTAGTGAATGAGAAGGGCATCACAGATTGTGGTGAATAAGAGAGGCAGCACAGGCTGTAGTGAATTATAGAAGCAATAGGTTGTAGTGAATGAGAGAGGCAGCACAGTTTTATGTGAATTAGAGCGGCAGCACAGACTGAAGTGAATGAGAGAGGCAGCACAGACTGGAGTGAATGAGAGAGGAAGCACAGACTGAAGTGAATGAGAGATGCAGCACAGACTGGAGTGAATGAGAGAGGCAGCACAGACCTGCGTGAATGAGAGGGGCAGCACAGGCTGTATTGAATGAGAGAGGCAGCACAGATTGTGGTGAATAAGAGAGGCAGCAGAGATTGTAGTGAATAGGAGAGGCAGCACAGACTGAATTGCATGAGAGGGGCAGCACAGATTGAAGTGAATAAGAGAGGCAGCACAGGCTGTAGTGAATGAGAGAGGCAGCATAGGCTGTAGTGAATGAGAGAGGCAGCACAGATTGTTGTGAATAAGAGAGGCAGCAGAGATTGTAGTGAATAGGAGAGGCAGCACAGACTGGATTGAATGAGAGGGGCAGCACAGGCTGTTGTGAATGAGAGAGGCTGCACAGACTGAAGTGAATGAGAGAGGCAGCACAGACTTGAGTGAATGAGAGAGGCAGCACAGACTGTAGTGAATGAGAGGGGTAGCACAGATTGTAGTGAATGAGAGAGGCAGCACAGATTGGATTGAATGAGAGGGGCAACTCAGACTGGAGTGAATGAGAGAGGTAGCACAGACTGGAGTGAATGAGAGAGGTAGCACAGACTGGACTTAATGCGGGGGCAGCACATTCTTGAGTGAATGAGAGGGGCAGCTCAGACTGGAGTGAATGAGAGGGGTAGTCCAGAAAGATCTTAATGACGCAGGCCGAGTGGAGTGAGGGGCAGTTCACTGTAGTTTATTAATGGTCGAAATATAAATTGCATTCCCTAGACTATTGACTTATGTGCTACTTCAGGGGTTCACACTATTTCTGTCAAATATGTTTCAGTAATACAAAGAATGTCATCCCTACTTATTCCCGAAGAACAAGAAATGTTTCAATCCGAATCTGACACAAGGTATGTTTTCCACATTCAACACATGGTGATTTAAGTTTGCTAGAGATGTACATGTCTTCATTCCCGCTGCTTGTACCTTAATCGTCCTTTAATTTGACGCCTCATTTCAGATGTACTCAGATCATGGTGTGAGTACTACAATATCAATCATGTATAGACACTGTACTGTATTAAACTGTGTGTAATACATTAAGTGATATACAGAAAACTTGATATTATTTGATAAGTCACAAGAAGTTTAAAAGAAAGATAATTGTTGGAAGAGTTCAAAAACTGAAATATAAAATCTTCACTGCGCATTAATGCTTTAATGAATATTTCTAAGCAAGAAAATTAAAAAAAATAAAACATAATAACTGTAGTCTTCTTAGTATGAAAACGTTTGGAGTTTCTTTGTCTTTCTCTGTCTCAGTTACTAAAACAGACCTGTCATTACATGTAATACAATTTTACCAATGCTGTTCTTGAAATATGGACATATCTCAGAATTAAAACAGTCACGCCAATGTATGTTTCTAGACTCGGGAAATGTTACTAAAGAAGAGTTACGTATGATAATGTTTTGTATCTCTCACATTATCGATTCCAAACATGTACACATATATATTGTATATTGATATCAATGTGATCATGATGTTCTGAAAATAATAGCGTCTGTCCAGCTATTCACATTTCGAACAAGATCCACCCCTGTCTGGGTATGATGGCACGCAATAAAGTTTCAGCGCTTTACCACTCGATCCAACGTGACATTTACGACAGCATAGGTTAATTGGGACCGATTCCAACCTAGAATCCAACGGTGGACTTATACCTCTAACCTTCTGAAACGCACTTTTTATAATCGCTTTGTAAAAACTGAAATGTCACTTCATACAGCTAAAACGGAGACATCGTTGAACCATTACCTTACAAGCTGATCTTAAGAAGGAAATTTATATTATGATGTTGTCATTGTTGGAGTAAATCATCGTCTTCAAACACCATTAGGCCATACAATAATCAGTGAATGTGAATATGCTGCAGACTGAGAATGATATACTGAATCAAGCGACTCCAAAGCCACTGTATGGACTAGCTGTCAGTATGTTTGTTTTGTTTGTTTGTTGATTAACGCCGCACTCAGCAATATTCAAGCTATATGTCGGCGGTCTGTAAATAAACGAGTCTGGACCAAACAATCCAGAGATTAATATCACGAGCATCGACTTACGCAATTGGGATCGATGACATGTATCAACCAAGTCAGCGAGCCTGACCACCCGATCCCGTTAGTCGCCTTTTACGACAATCATAGTCGCCTTTTACGGAAAGCATGGGTTGCTGAAGACCTATTCTACCTCGGATCTTCACGGGTCTGTCAGTATGTAGCATTACTGCGACTGTTATTTAAACATTTGACAATAATCATCATTTCATGTTGTCTCTGGCTACCTTTATGTTTAAAATTGCGGTTAGAATAGGTCTTCAGAAACCCATGCTTGTCGTAAGAGACAACTAACGGGATTTGTGGTCAGGCACGCTGACTTTGTTGATGCATGTCATCATATCCAAACTGCGTAGGTCGATGCTCATGATGTCATTCACTGAATTGTCTGGTCCAGACTCGATTATTTACAGACCACCGTTATATAGCTGGGATATAGCTGCGTGCTACTTTAAAAAACAAAAAAAACATTAACAAATCCCTAATGGTCACTTTTTTACCTGCTTTAGAAATTTAATTTCATTGCGCAGCATTGAGATCAATTTATATTTAACGAGACATGGAGTATCTGTATATTTCATATGTCGAAAAACACACATTGCATTATTTATCAGTTCTTTTCAACTAGGATATGTTTCGATACTTGGTAGGGGAAATAAACAAAATTCAGGCAATATCTTTTTTTAATCTGAAGAAAGTCAAACCGAAAGCATGTAGTTGTATATAACATGATGTGCGGAAGACTATACAAAAGACTAATGAATTCAAGTTCTGATATTAAACTTTACTTCTTCTAGTTTCCAACTGAGAAATAATACGATTTATCAATTTTACAAGGCCATTTTAATACTTCGAATACAAGTAAGTGGTAATTGTTCATTTACCCTTGTTTTTTTTCAGTAACCATGTTATCTATATATGGATGCCCGTTGGAGTCAGTCAGGTCGGACATGCATCGTTGTGCTGAGTAACGGTGTATATGTAAGCTGGTGGCCACAAGATAAGAAATCAAAATGTGGGTTTAAGAAGAAAGAAAATAAATGCAATAGTAGCCTGCAGGGAGACATCAAAGAAGAGGGCATGGATCCTGACTACACGTTTAAGATACCCTCCACAAAGTTAGACCTGACTGACTGATATGACAACCTTTTGGAATAAACAAAAAAGCACGGGTCACTATTCCTTACTGAAACAAAACTGTTGCTGGGTTGTGTACCGCGTCCTCCGTGCAGGCAGATCCCCAATGAGTCAAACAATTCTTTGGAGACCAGAAACTTTACGGAGGTATCTGGTCATTTACCTGGGTGGTGGATCAGGATTTTTTACTTTTTTTAACATGCCAGATTGGGATTTACGTTTCAAAGGTAAATGTAACAACCATATATTATGTCTTATATAATATCGACACATCGTCAGCAAAGATTCAAAAACAAGACATACCTGTATTTATGAACTAATGTGCGTTCCATGTTCAATATCTTAATCTTCCTGGTACCTGAAAGTCCAAACAAAATGAACGATTTAACAGAGTAAACGATGACTCAGGTTTTTTACTGTAGCACCTCTTGGGGTGTCAAGTGCGAGTGAGTGAGTTAAAATTTAACGTCGCATCGGCATTATTTCAGCCATATAGCGACGAGACCAAGCTGATGTATACACAATTTAGTTATTTAAGCAATGTCATATTAAAAAACAATTGATGACAATTGATGGACAGAGCCTTTAATAATGTCAGTTGCTTATAGCATCACATCAAATTTAAAAACAAGCATTTAATTATTCACATACATATTTAAAATTTATTATGCAGACCAATTTCTTTCAAGTTATTTATGATGAGATGCCCGCTGACACGGGAACAGAGATCTTTTAGATTTACACTTTGATAATGTGAATCCCTTGCGATTGCAAAGTCCACACAGTCAAGCAATATATGCTTGACGGTGAACCTTTCATCACAAGGGACACACTTAGGAGGTTCGTCCTCATCTGTCTTAAGCAGATATTCGTGTGTAAACCGACTGTGGCCAATACGACACCGTCGTAAAACGACCTCTCGTCATGTCTTGACTGACAACCCAAGGTATGACCGATTGTTGGTTTCAATTCGTGTAGTTTATTGCTTCCTACTTGGGTGTCCCACCTCTTTTGCATGAGATCCCGAGTATAAGATTTGATGGTTGGTTTGAAATCACTGTACGGGATAAAGAGTGGAGACAACGGTTTGTCAAGAGCTGCTTTAGCTGCAGTATCGGCTTTTGAGTTACCTGTTATGCCTACATGACTTGGTAACCAGCAAAAGACGATGTCACATTGGCCAGTAGAAAGATCATTATAGAGTTCTAAAATGTCAAGGATTATAGGATGATTTGAGGAGATACTTTTAAGTGCCTGAAGGCATGATATTGAATCGGAGAAAATGATGATTTTTTTTTATTGGTTTTGATGTTTGATATAGGTCAAAGCTGTGAAGAAAGCTTTGGCCTCAGCAGTAAAAATTGAACTGGTGTCTGGTATTCTTGAGGGAGACAGTTCTGGATCCAATGATGGCACCATCTGCCAGGGAGGAGAAGACAGAAGACGGTGAGGTGAAATAATATTTAAATCCATGTTAGCTGTAGTGATGTGTGGTTAAATTTTGATTCCAAGTGGTGGAACCAGGTTTGATAGATTTTGAAACAGGTTTTCATAATGAGGGTGGAACACACAATTGTATGCTGGATAAGATTTATCTGAGTGCAATTCAGTGATATATTGCAGTGAAAGTTTAATGCGGCGCAGTTCGAGTGAAGGTTCACCGGCCTCCACATACAAACTGTCCACGGGAGAGGTCCAGAAAGCTCAGAAAGACAGAGTCTTAGGCCTTGGTGGTGTACAGTGTCCAATTTTTCTAAATTGCTTTTGCAGGCTCCACCATAGACAATGAAACCATAGTCCAGTTTGGAGCGTATTAACTCTCTGTACACGTGAAGGAGGGTGGTCTGATCCCCTCCCCACTCGGAATTTGAAATGACTTTTAACAAGTCGAGAGCCTTCAGGCACTTTGCCTTCAGATATTTAATGTTTGGTAAGTCACTGATTATTGTGATTTCAAACATGTAGAAATGACTGCTTTGTGTTGAGATTATGCCATAAACACTCTTTCTGTTTCAGAAAAAATCACACTGTATACATGGAATGCCAGAGGTGGGAGGGAAAAACACCAGTCACTATTGCTAGATAACTCAGTATATGTAAGCTGTTGGCCCCGTCACTTATTGTCAGAAGGACATGCTTCGTGCAGCTTACAAGACGATCGAAGAAAGATGGGTAGAGTGGAAGATGAGGCACATATCCTTCCTAATATGACGTTGGAGTACCACCTCATGAGGAGACGCTGGAAGCAAATGATGACAGAGGAAACATCGGAAATGGGGGCAGCTAAGTCGGACTGGGTCATACGACAAATTCTGATTGCAGGTGGCGCTCCTATATTACTGCGAATAGGAATAATATGATGATGCACACTTGACTTTCTGAAAATAATCAACATATGACACATTCATTGGATGACTGGATGCGGAACAATACATAGATTTATTACAGCTTCTGTTTTAAGTCTCCTGAAGTTTGTGACGTGTGCTGCAAATAGACTTTTGTTGCAACTTTGTACTCGCATCTAAAGCCAGTCAATACTCGATTTAGAAATTAATAACCTACGAGCAACGAGAGATTATATGTGTCTTGTGAATAAATTTTGTAAATTCTGAGCCTTAGTAATTATGCTGTACATTACCCGTGGTCTTTTTCAACGATAAGTTTGAAAAATGGAGTTTCCTTATTCCAAATGGAGTTAATTTGTTGTTAAAACAACGCAATCTTCAATTATTAGCGACAATGCGTTCGATCACGTCACGTGGCTGTGGTAATCTTCGAAAATCATGAAAACAATGATTGTTCCATTGTTTTCATGATTTTCGAAGATTACCACAAAGAAACTCAAAAGAAAGAAAAGAAACTTACCACAATCCCAAAGAACTCTATTTGTAGCCAATAATGGATCGCATCTAAGCGTGGTTTATTAAAGGAGATAAACCTACTGTGTTTGGAAATTTGATGTAATCCCACTGTAGAAGAGATACCTCTTTAGCTAGGTTCCTAATTATAATAAAGAGGTATCTATTCTACAGTGGGACTACATCAAATTATAAACCTCCAGTGATGCATCACCATTGTTACAACAGGTAGTTCTTTTCTCCGAAAATTCCTCTGCCCACGGGATTCTCGAGCTATGTGCTTTTGACTGAGAACCTTCGAGTGCTACAATTGAAATTTCAGAATTAAAGTTATGTCTTGTAAACAAAAAGCATCTTCATATCTGTCGGTTTATGTATAGGATATACGCGGGCTTTTCCTTTGCCAGACTGCATTATTTTCACGGATAGCCCGCGGAGGCGGTTTATATCTTATACATAAACCACGATTCGTTCTTCATTGTTCTTTGCAACTAATCGCGTATCTATCTTATACACGAATATCATAAACTTCACAAAATAATATACTAGACACATAAAGAAACTGTGCATGGAGAAGATATATTCTGGATTGAAATACAACACAGCAATCACAAAATGATGCAGACGCTGTAGCAGCTGAATGATCGGACCATAAGAAAATGTCAACGGGACCTGAACAACATCTGTTGCGATGACGTCAGAAGATCAAAATGGAGTAGGGGGTCAAACGACAAAGTCAAAATGTCAATAACGGGTATGACCACCCTGTGCGTGAATCACAACAGTGCATCGGCGACGCATGGACTCCACCATATGGGCATTGGAGGCTTGGGGAATGGCCTGCCATAGCCTCCTCAAATCCTGTGCCAAGTCACGGACGTTATCTGGCGGATGTGGAAGATGACGCAGACGGCGCTCCATTTCATCCCACACATGCTCTATTGGGGAGAGATCTGGGGAATTTGCAGGCCATGGCAGTAACATGACATTGTTATGGTGAAGGAAATCCATTGCGACCCTAGCCGTGTGAGGACGAGCGTTGTCCTGTTGAAATGTCAATCCCAGGCCATGACGTTGCAGGAAAGGAATGACCACAGGCCTCAGAATCTGATCTCTGTGGCCAACACCGGTGTGATTGCCCTGAACAACCACCAAAGGGGTTCGGTGCCGTGCTGTTATCCCACCCCAAATCATCACAGAGCCACCTCCAAAACGATTCCTCTCCACAATACAGATGCGTGCATAACGTTCTCCCAAACGCCGGTAGACACGTTGGCGCCCGTCACTGTGGGAAATGTTGAACCTCGATTCATCTGTAAAGACAACATTTCTCCACCATATTCGAGGTTGGCGAACATGATTACGACACCATCTTAGACGGTTGTCTCGATGACGGTGTGTCAGGATGGGACGTATGGCAGGGCGTCGTGGTCGAATCCTGTACTGACCTAAACGATTCATGACAGTATTGGGATGGATACGGCGCAGTCCAGGCATTGTCTGGTACGTCGTTACTGCCGTTTTGAACCTGTGTCGGAGATGTGTAACTTGAATCCATCTGTCCTGTCTTGGCGTCGTTACTCGTGGACGTCCTAAACGTGGATGGTCGGCAACGTCATTTGTGTTCTGATAACGCCTCACCAATACCGATATCGTGTTACGATGACATTGGAAATGTGTTGCCACCTGTTGTTGCCTCATTCCCGCTCGGATCATTCCAATGGCTTCATGACGCTGTGCAGCTGTCAATCTTGGCATGATTTGCTTGTGATATGCTTGTGTCTGCGCCTGAGAAGTTTTGAATTTTGAATGACCACAGATCATGCTTTCCAAAGTGACACCGAATTTTGATTTGCACATACTGTGTACAGCTGCACAGGATGCACCTGCAGTAACACATTGCACGTCCATAGGCCCCCATAAATGACGTCATATCGCATGGCACGTGCATGAGCGTTTGAATGTCACCAATAATTGCTGTGTTCAAACCTATATTTCATATATGGAGGGTGTGCCCTTATATCTATATTTTCTCCGTGCATAGTTTCTTTATGTGGCTAGTATAGATGCCGTCACAGGAGGTTTTTGAGATCACACTACAGCTCCTTTTGCTTGATAGTTCATGTCTATGAGATATAACTTTTGATGTCACTGTGCCCATTAATCATCCCTTGTGACTTCGTGCCACACTTTTGTGCCGAGGACTTGTGTTATCCAGACAAATTATATTGTGACGTATGTCACAAAGTCACGGGTGATACACCAGCAGAAGGTTGTTTTGCACAAACGGTGTCGGGAATCCACGGCGGCTTATGGACAGGATGCGACTCAGAAGTAGGTCAGTCGTCACTGAAGTCCTCTGTGACCTTAGCGCCAATGTCGGTTGTACGTGAATATCTCGATTGTTGCAGGTTATTGGCTATGTGATCATCTTGATGGTCCTGTAGGCACGTGGATTGCTAGAGTATCATCTGGGTTGTTACAAGTGCACATCAATTGCTAGATCATCATCTAGATTGTTACACGTGCAAGTGGATGGCTTATGGTAATGTGGAATGTTTCATACGCAGATGAGTTGCTAGATGATGATATGGATTGTTTCATGTGCATGTGGGTTGCTAGGTGATCATCTGTATTGTTCCAAGTACACGCCGGTTTCTATTTGATCACTTGGATCGTTACATGTACACGTGGGTTGCTAGATGCTCATCTGGATTGCAACATATGCACGTAGATTGATGTACGTCATCTGGATTGGTACAAGTGCACATGGATTGCTAAACGATAATCTTTTACTATTACAAGTACACATGGATTGCTTGATGATCATTTGGCTTGTGTACAAGGATTGCTTGATATATATTATGGATTGCTACATATGACCATATAATGCCAGATGACCATCCTGATTGTTACATGAACACGTGGACTGCAATCAGTGCAGGTAGACTGTTACGTTTAAATGTCGCCCTAACGTTTTGTGTGCATTGTATTTGTAACCATAGCGTCAGAAACAGTTGATAAAATCGTATGTCCACTCGGGCAAATATCACTTCATGCGAGCCAGTGTTTAGTTTACGTCATCCACACGTCATTGTTGACGTCATTCGAAACTTTTTGTGACGCAAGTTCGGAATGGCGTCACACGAATGAATTCATCGCTGAAGATTGCTAACGTTATTCCAAAATTTTGGTTTTCTAAGAATGCGGTCGTGATCGATGGGTTTTACTTAAGGGGAGCTCAAAGGGATTAAAAACGGATTTTATGAAGCTTGCAACCGTGTATTACCCTCGCTCTTGCTCGGGAACTACAAGGATTCTGACACTCAGTACACTTTATATAATCAGTATGCCACACACACTCTTGTAATAACCTATATACGTCCATTTGGATTCTTGTGTGTAGGGATTATTACATCTCACATGGATTGTTGGTTGTTAAGTATGTATGTGGATTGCGATGTTTGCCAAAGGACTGTTATGTTTGAGGTGGGTTGCAATGCGTGTAATTGCTGGCCCGCTGTGATATACATATAACATCAGTGGTGTTAAACTAGAGTCACTCACTCACTCAACCAGTCTTTCTAAATGGACCATAATGCTATCACGGGGGACCCTCTCGTCTTAAGGCGTCGCTGCGTAGCAGTGCGTCTATTAGATATGCCAGAACCCTATGAATTCGAATCCTGTTTCACACTAATAATTTCTAGGTTTGTAAGTTCCATACCAGTGATTGTGTTTAACGTCTAAGAACTACGTCACTGCGAATCTTTTTCATCCACCGCGTCGTTATTTAACTGATATAATATTAAGTGGCGTTGAAGCAAACTCACTCACTCTACCCCAAGTACTCGAATGTCATCCCTGCAGACAGCTACACTGGCAGCCACAGTAAGACAAATCTTCAGATCCGAAGAGTGTTGTTAACGCCGGACATGTAATGGAACACTTCTTCTTGCGGATAATATCAGCGAGACTGGCACCTTATCATTATTCGTTTGTTACTGACCCGTTACAACTGTTTAACATGATCAGACTGCATTGTTTCATACTCTAAGGGACATGTAGGGCGCCCAGTTAAATGATACTAGCGCACGTTGTATCTATGTCACAGCTGCAATCCATACTGAACGCGACAACTATTAATCTGATCACATATAGTTTCCTTGACTGCCTCTTAAATGAAGTATTTATCTACGCCATTGATGATGCGTATTTGTTTCCTGGTTGTATATGTGATTCACAAAAGCATACAATAATCAACGACATCACTATTCAACCAAGCGACATTACAGATCTGATGTATACTCTCTTTACCTAAATATTTCTGGAAACTGAAACGCCTGTTGATCATTGTTCTGGAAAATTGTTCAGTGCGTTAAAAACACACGACTCGCACACCGCAATCACGAGACAGCCACTACAGGTGCTGTGGGGTCAACCCAGATTCAGTCAACCCAAGGACCGCCTCCGTGGTCTAGTGGTAGAGCGTCCGCCCGGAGAGCGGAAGGTCCGGGGTTCGATCCCCGACCGCGTCATACCAAAAGACGTTAAAAGATAGTACTTGTTGTTACCCTGTCTGGTGCTCGGCATTAAGGGGCTAAACAAGGACTGGTCGGCTCGGAATCAGTATACTGTGTCTGAGTGGGGTATTCATGTTAAACTGCGGCATGGTATCTCAGTGAGCTAGCGCTATAAATCGGCATCAGTCCGGACTAGTACAAGCAGCCACACAAACATACATACACGTGCAT